ATATATTAATATGTTATAATTACTACACCTATGTTTTATATGTTCGCTTATAATAAATTAAATATAATAACTTTGTTAGTAATTATTACCTTAGTTTTTATAACATATTATTTTCAATGAGTTATTAGTTATACAAACTTTACAATATATATATATATATATAACATTATAACATATAATTTGTTTCATAAATATATATAATAAAGTACTATAACATTATGTTTTACATTGAATATATTCATGCCATATAATTTTAATATTACTTTGAGTACATCATCCTTTACGATTAGTTTCATATTATAATTTTAATAATTAAAATCATGAGCACTATATAAATATACAACCATAGAAGGTATACAAAAATAATAGTACTTGGTGTATACAAATATTAGTTAATATAAATTAAGAAGAGTTTATAGTAAATTTAATTAAATAATATACTTAAAATACATTAGTTTATTATACTATAGTAATGTTACAAATATATAAATGTAATATTATATATATTTAATTTTTACATAAGTATTAATATAACTTATGATAAACTTTATTTATATTATTACACTTAAGAATTTAATTTATTAGTTATCACTTTAGTTTTTTATAACATATTGTTTATAATTAGTTATTATTCATACAAACTTTGATATAAAACATTGTATCACATAAGTTGTATTATTGATTTCATATATGTATATATATATATAATAAAGTAATACATATAAATATATATTATATAAAATAAACATATTAGAGATTAGTGATGGAACATGACTCTACATATCAGATTTTGGGTTAATTTTAATTATCTTGAGTAAAGGCCTAACTAGGACTCTTTAGTATAACTAGAAAAGAGTCATAGGTCGAGTGGATCACTGCTATTTATGATTGAATTGGGCACGGGCAATAGGAAAATTCTTTAAATGGCTATAGGGTGTGAAAATATTACTTATACTTATTATAAATAAGTAATTAATATTTTACAAAATAATAAATTTTATTAATAATAAATAATATATTATAAATAAATAACAAAATAATATTAATCTTTTGTTCATATAGGGACTCAAACTTGTGTGTGGACAAAAAATAAACTAAGTTTTACTAATCTACCACACAATTAAGTTTATTTTAAAGGTCACCAAGATAGTGTAAAAGTAAACCAATACAAGACTCAAACACTAATCCCTAACTCCTAACTAATGTGCATGGCTCATCAGTCATTTAACCAAAATTTCCCTTTTTTCTCAGATAAGCCGAACCCTTGCCCCTTGTTGCTCCTTTTAATGTTGTAACCAAACAGACAACTAGAACTTCCTTGATCGTGTTGTGTTTTGAGGTAAATATTTGACATGAATTCTTAAGCCAAGAAAATGCTTGGAATTTTTTAAATTAGTTAGATAAGAATAGTTCTTAATGGGTGTTTCTTTTAAATTGTAAGTAGTTATGAAATACCTCAAAAAAATTTTGTTTCTAATGGACCTTCCTCGATACAAAATTCATAACCTAAAGTTGCACCATAATAAATTATGTCCTTTGATCAATACTGTTGTCATTTGTGTCTCCTTTGCTTTAAGTTTACTAAGATGTTATGAAGTGAGAAAGTTTGCTAGACTACTTAGTTTTCTTGTATTCTCAATTTACCCTTTGGACTTGGTTCACATTTTTCAGTTCTACACTTCGAATAGGGATGATATGTAAATAAGCTCTTAAACTATTCAAAAAAATTTAAATAAGCCTTAATACTTTTATTACATTCAATCAAGTTCTAGTACTTTTATTTTGAGCCAAATAAGCTCTTATATATTTATATTGAGTCAAATAAGTCTAAATGACTAATGATTGACTTAGTCAAAATACCATTTGTTATTTTTTTACCACGTGGCATTGATGTGGCATGTTAACATGTCATAATTGGTGGTGAAGTGACATGCTGACATAGCATGATTGATGATGATGTAACATGCCAATGTAACATGATAATATGGCCAGGTGGCATTTTTCATTTTTCACATTAACGTCGTGTCAGTACCTTGTGGATATAAAATAATAAGTGACATTTTGACTAATAGCAATTAGTTAACCATTACTTATAAAGGCTTATTAGTTCCAAAATACAAATACAAAAGCTAGATTAAATGTAATAAAAGCATAAAGACTTATTTGAATTTTCTTGAATATTTGAAAGGCGTTTTTGATTGTTATGCTAATATAAAATGAGAACATTCCATTAATGGTATCATAGTAAATTGCATAAAATCATTTTTTGTCTTTTCTTGACCAAGTCAAAGCTTCCAAACAACATAGAAAATGTGAAATTGTGTAGTGATGGGTTACTGAAATGCTGAAACTGTGTATTGATGACAATGTACAGGTTTACATGTCTTGAGATATTGGACTATGGAAAATGTGAAATGGTTTCACACAATGAATAATGATTTAATGTTTTCTGTGAAGCTACTTAAGTTAAGAACTTGTAGCTAGCGGTAATAAGTGCTAGTCATTGTGCACTAAGTCAGAAACTTTAATTGGTAGGAGAGAAAGTGCTAGCCATTTGTGGCGGAGTAGATACATGACTAGGGTTAGAGTGCTCTTAGTATGTTGTTGTGCACATTGTTGATGGCTATATGCACCGTACGACATTAGGTAGTTGGGCTATCACATTATGTGCTTCTTGAGCATGCTCCATAGGAAAGTTTTTTCGAAGTATTGATTTTATAACGTTGGAAAGGTTTTCCTTATTTGATTTATATCAAGGATTTAAAAAATTTGATGAAAGATGTTTATTCTTCTTGATTAATGTTAGAAACATGAAATCTTGACTTTGAAAAGGTTAATTGCACTTGAATTGTGTTAAAAGTTTGTGATTTTTGAATGAAGGATGTTTATTGAATGATTGGATGTCCAAAATTTTGGGGTTTTGCAATTACAAGAGCATTCTGGAACTTGGGGATCGATCCCTGCACTGTGTTTTGGAAACATACTACATTGTTAAATACTTTTCAAATGGATTTTTCAGCCACTTCAAGTTAAGTTTCAAAAGGGTTTTTAAACCATCGAAATACACCTAAATGACATGTAAATGCATCTTTATTACATGATTTACTTAAAGGTGTTGATTTATCTCAAACATGCATGTTTTAAGAAAAGGTGTTGTTTGTTTAAGTAGTTGTGCGTTGACTTGTTCCTCTCCTGTGTTTGCTAACTGAGTTATATGCTCACTCTTTCAAATTCATGTTTTGTTTTTAGATTAGTAGCTAGATTGGGTTTCTTCTTCTTGAAGAGGTCTCCAAGTGTTCTTTAGTATGTTCAGCTAGAGACACATGGTTGGTGTCATTGGATATCCTAGAGTCATCACTCCACTGTCCATTCCATTGTCTTGTTACACTACAAAAAAACAGAGTTTTTCCAACTGAAAAAAATTCCGTTGAAAATTTTTCGTTGGAAACTTTCAATGAATTTCTAGTGGAATTCCAACAGAAATTTATTTTGATTTTTTTCGATGGATTTCCGACGGTTTTCCAACGGAAATATTCCAACGAAATATTTCCATTGGAAATCCATCGTATATTTTTTTGGAGCAAAAAACATTTACTCCCACCAAATTTTCCAATGGAATTTTTGACAGATTTTTGTTGGAATTTTCTTACGAAAATTTATCCGTTGAAAATCCATTGGAAAGTTTAAAGCGTCAAAAAATTTAACGATTGCCAAACTTTCCAATGGAATTTTCCGTTGGGAAAAGCTATTATCAATGGAAATTTTTCAACGGAATATTCTGTTGAAAAATTCTATCGATAATAATATTTTTAAAATTTTTATATAAAATAAATTAAAATGTTTATAAATTTTATTAATTTTTTTAAAAATATATTAATAAAAGTAAATATATACACACTGAAGTTTATAATATTAAAAATTCAAATATGTTTTGCTTTATTTTTTTATATTTTTGATAATTTTATTGAATCACAAATTACAAATTAATAGTTCCAAATTCATTAATTTTATTAAATTAAAAATTTATAAAAAGAACATAATAAATTTTTTAATTTTATAAAAATAGATGATAAGATATAATAATAAATTAAACAAAATATAATAATACTTTATATACGTAGTAATATTAGCTAGGGTAAATTAAGAAAAAATATATAATAAACTTATTAATATAATATATTTAAAATATATTAGTTTATTATATGTGTACACAAATTAAAATCATAGCTATGGAATATATATATATATATATATATATATATATATATCACTACAAGAAAATCGAGCAACTATGGTGCAAAAATTTTATCTTGACGTAAAAAATTAGTGCAAAATCCTATGATGAAAACCATTAAAATATTAAAATTTCTTGGTTAATGACAAAATTAGTGACAAAATTATAAACAAAATTTAATTAATGCAGTTGAGTAAATAACATGTGGCCAATTTAAGTATAATTACAAATCATAAGTTAATGTAGGTAAAATGTCAATTATGGAATAAGTCCCTTCAATTTTCTTTTTGTTTTTTTACTTACTTAACATCGTTTGGAAAAATTTGAATAATTTGACGTAATTTAGAAATCGAATAAAAAAAGAAGTATAGAGTTGAGATAGGAGATTTACAGCAAAAGATTTATATTGCGAAAAGTGATGAAGTTTTTCAAAAAACTATCAATGTTTGAAATCCTTTATACAAGACAATTTGCACTTAAAGCACCAAATTATGTTTAAGGTCAATTTAAATTTTATGAATTATATGATTAGCATTTAACTTATTATAAATAAAAAAGAAAAACAAAACTGAAGGGTTTTTTTTTTGGAGTCTATTTATTGTGAATAACAAAAGAAGGCATTTGCACTAGAGTAGAAAAATAAATAGTTGTCTTTATTAATTTATAAGTATGGTTAGATACTGAAGAGAATAACAGTAAGTAGCTATAAAATTGTAACGTTCAAGTAAATTGGTAATTTTATAATTTTGGGGGGAAAAACAGAAAGCCCACACCGCTCCCTCTGATTTCCCCCTAATCTCAATCCCATTTAAAACCCTAAAAGACTCTTTCCTCTCTAATTTTATCTTCCCTTCCAATCGTCTCTTCCAGCGATGGCATTTCTTGAGAAAGGAGGCAGAGGAGATGAGGAGGAAACTATCGATCAATTTTATTCTGTTATGTTTTACCATCCCAAGTCCTAGATCAATTTTATTCTGTCTATTCAGAAATCTAACAAAATTCCAAAAAATGTTTTAACCTAACTATGTAGAAGTCTAACTAAATTCCCAAAATTTTTTCAACCTTAGCAGACAGTCTCTCTTTGCTGTTACATCTGCACTTGCCCAGCCTGTACCTCATTCAGTCATTTGCTCTTTCATCTTTGCCGCCGCACCTGCACCTTCCCAATCTACAACTCATTCGGTCGTTCAGGTTACTAAAACCCGTTACTCAATGCTTCATCTTCACCATTTGCCTTTTTTTTCTCCTCAGAACTGAATTCTTGTGTTTCGAAGTAAAATTGTAGTGAATAAGAAAAAGAACAGAACATGAAGCTGAATGTAGACGTTTTGAAATATCTCTCCAAAGATGATTTAAGGGTTCTAACTGCCATCGAAATGGGCATGAGAAACGTATGTGTGAATTACGATTTTTTAATATAATCATCTGATTTTGCCCTATGATTTTTTAATATAATCATTTGATTTTACTTTCTATTATTTTTAGAATTCTAAATTCGTTATTAAAATTTGTGACCCATTTTATTTTTCTTTTTCAGCATGAAATTGTGCCTTCAGACCTCATCGATCGTATTGCTTCCCTCAAGTAATTACTTGTATTATTATTTTTATTTATAATTATTTCCTTTTTTTCAATCATTAAATGTAATTAATTTTAATTTTAGGCATGGAGGCACTTACAAGGTCTTCAATCGCTTCAGCATTTTAAGGAAGGGGGATCTGTATGTTTCTTCAAAGAATCCAGGGGTAAGCAACCTAACTTTATGATGTTAATGAATTGTCTTCACCTTGCTCAGCTGACAGCTACTAATATAGTTGCTTCAGATGTATAAGTTTTCGCTATGATCAGAGCCAGTAGTTTAATAGTTGCTTTCATTGTTCTAATAAATTATTGCTGCCCTTAGAAATTATGGCCTTTATTCCAAGTTATCTGGAGGATACATTATCTTAGTTGACTAATAAGAAGGAAACTTATATTCATTAATCACAGGAGCATGTCCTATATGAGAATCCTAGTGTCTAGAGGAAGGTTTTCTATCCAAACCGACAGAATCCAACACTATGTCCTGTTCAAATACTTGAGGAAGAGAAGGCTATGCGTCCTACTGATCCTAGCTGTTCGTCATGCCTATTTTTGTGCATCAAGTATGGTGGAAGGACAAGAAATCTTCCTCAAAATGAGTAAGTATGGCTTTGATAATTGATTTGCTATATTATTGTTAGCTTTTGTACACCATTAGACACCACAATTCATTTCTTATTTAATCTAAATATTCGTTTATCTTTTATCTTTTTTTAGTTAGCATTTGCTTATTTTTTGCTGCTCCTAATTTTTCTTTCGTCAATTAAAAATAAATAAACACATTTTCAATGCAAAAGTAAGTAATAGTTTGAATGAATTATAGTTATAATCTCGTTGGAAAACAAAATGCATGATTTTAATTTTATACAGAACAATTAGGTTGGAATTGGTGTACATTGTTGTGATTCGTTTATTTTAATCAATATGATTTTTTTTCTATATTTTAACTTTTTAAGGAGAAAAAAGCAAAATTAGCAAAAAGTAGGTAGCAAAAGCAACAATCGAGCAAAAGCTTATTTGTTTTGCTATTCAATAACTTCTGAAGCTTTTTTTTCTCTCTTAAATTTAGATGATGGTTTTCGTCTTACGTACCTTGGCTATGATTTCCTTGCCATTAAAACCAAGGTCAACTGTGGAGCTTTCATTGCAGTTGGTCGTCAAATTAGGGTTGGCAAAGAGTTCGGTAACTCTTTCTATTTATTCTGAATATGAGGATGGAGATGAGGAAGATTTGATTCTTTCTAATTAGAAACTGAAATTTAATGTTTCTCATCATAAGATGGAGTGCCTGAATTAATTTTCTTCATGTGGTTTAATGCTGAATTAATTTTCTTTTAGGTCAATTATGAATTTATCTATGTATTTCTTGCTTTCCTCCACCTGCTTATCTTTTGATCTTTGTAGTGCAGGTCTTGCCATGTGGCCAGCAATCATGGTCGATGAATAACTTGTTGGTGATCATCAAGGTTTAAGCAAGATTTCTGGTGGAAGATCAGTTCCAATGCAATATTTTGGCACCCATGATTTGCAAGGTTTCTATGTATTTTAAGTTTGCTTGACATGTAATGTTCTTGTTTTGCATTGACACTTGCTTATATCTCTTGAGGATTGATATCATTGGCTTCTGTTATAATTTTCAGAGTAAAAACTAAACAAGTGATCTCATTTCTCAAAGGACTTCTTTCGTCATTCCATCAGAAGTGCAAGAAACCTCAATTTACAAGGGGCTTGGAAGAAGCAAAACTGTAAGTTATTTTCTTTTTAGGTCTTTTTGCTAAAAGTTTGTTTAGCACAAGTTACAAAAGGAACATGATAAAGAAAAACTTTTTTCTTTGAATTTATTTATTTATTCTAATTGTAATGAGATTAATATGCACATTTCAATTGTTTCTGCTTTGTGCTCACACATGGTCCATTTTTAAGCATAGCTGAGGCTAACATTGAGAATGAATTGAAATTGATGCTTTTCTAAGGTTATTGCATATGCCTCCTTATCATCCTTTCTCCATATTTTTAGCTTTTATGCTTTTGCATATGGCTTGGGGACTATTATTGTATTTGTTATTCTTCGACTTATTTAATGTGATCCCAGCATAAATTGTCACCACAATATTTAAATATATACATACTCTTTTATTCTTTATCTAATGAAGGCACGTGGGTCTCACTAACATTCTGTTTCTTCGAAATTTTTCTTACTCTCCCCCACTTTGGGCAAATCCAACTCCCTTAAATCAACTTTCAATATTGCATTGTCTTATTCGCTTTTCATCAATAAATTAATACTAATTTGTTATAGAAATATTATTTTAATTTACATCAACTTCTCCATTTTCACAAAACTCTTCCCATTAATAATAACCATAATTCGTCTTTATTAGCACTTAATATCTGAAGTTAATTAACATCCCAAGGGATGGGGTGTTACAACTACCCTATCCTTTGTAACATGACTAATGTGTAAACATAGTAGCATCTTTGATGCCACTAAATACCACCACACCTTTGACATTTGCTTCATGACATTACGCTTGAAAGATACAAGTTCGCCCTTCAATATTTTTCATTGGGCACCCTTTCCATAAAGTACCAAAATAATTTCATTCCAATCTTGATGCTCAGCCAGATATTATCCATAGCCATCATTCTCAATATTGAGAACTTCATAAAAAGCATAGATGGCTTGACTGTGGAATGACACTTGTTTACCTTGGAGAAAAACAACACCATTAGTTTGTTCAGGAAGATTAACTTAAAATTCCCTTATCAATGGGATAACGGCCACCTCTAGTTGGGAACAAAATTTTTGCCAATTTCTTTCTTCAATCCAAGCTTGAATTCCAAGGTGTTGAATTAAGGCAACATCAAGACCTATTTCTTGAATTGAGACTTGTTAAGGAGAGAATTAACATGTCTTGCAACAACATCTGTAGACACAAATTTTGTCTTATCGAAGGAACTCCTTACATTAGACCTTGATCTTTTTGGTTCCATGATTAAATTTCCTACAAACTACTCAACCGAAACTAAAGCAAGGCAATCCCAATAAAGGCCAAACAATAATTTCTAATAACTTCTGGACACCTAATATCTCTCAGCAATTAATCACAAAATTATAAGTAGGACCAATTGAACTTTTCAATGTATGACTAAATTTCAACAATTAATAATATCAAATCAAGAAGTTAATTAAATTACCCACTAATCAAATCCTCAATTAATTATAAATTCTAACTACCTAACTCAAATTCACAAATTCAAAAGACCCACTATTTTCTAAGCACAATTAACTTAAAAAGCATAATTTTGCATCCATAACTAACAACAAATCAAGAATATCAAGAACAAGTATAAATTTCTTAAATAATTTGATTTTCAGGAACGGAAATAACTTTCTTGAGAAAACTTGAAGCCCATTTGTTTGTTAAAGGTTGTGATGGACTTAGAATGAGTTTGTGATCTTTGAAAGAAGGAAGATGAAAGAGTGAATTTTGTCTAGAAGAATTTAGAGAGAACAGAGAATTTTTTTGAAGTTAGAAGACAAGAGAAAAAAGTGGATTCATAATTTAGTGGCTGATAGGAGAGTTAAAAGTGTTTAAATAGCGAAAGGCAATGGTTTTAAAGGATTGGTAGGTTTTTGGGACGTCGAGCATCACAACCATGGCCCTTTAGGTGCCACGACATCGGCCTCTCTAGTGGGAGGTGTGGAGCAGTTATTGAGGCGTTACAACACTTAGGTGTGGGCACCACAGCACCATGCATTCTGGTTTGAGGGAAACATCCCCCATTATCAAGGCACTACGGCATCGACGATTTATTTAAGCAATTGCAAAAAGGTAAAAAGAAATAAATTAGTAAATTCAAAAAATAAATAAACTGAGGAATAAAATAAAAATAAATTTAGTTTAGAATCCTTGGGTTGGCTCCCCAAAAGCGCTTGATTTATAATCTCTAGCTTGACTTTCATAGGCTCAATTGGCATTAATGAGCGAAATTGAGGATTTGTGGTGTTCAACTTCGCCCCACCAATTGTGCTTGAGACGTTGACCATTCATAATGAATCCCTGATTGCCTTTCAATAATTCCACTACTCCATAAGGGAATTTTATCATGGCAACGAAAGATCCCAACCATCTAAACTTTAGCTTACTCAAAAATAATCTCAACCAAGAGTTGTAAAAGAGAACATGTTGGCCTAGTTCAAAATGATGCTTAATGATTTTCTTGTCATGCCATCTCATGGTCTTCTCCTTGTAGATATTTACACTCTTTTAAGCTTAAAGTCTAAACTCATTTATCTCATTTAGTTGCAAGAGATGCTCCTCTTTAGCAACTTGAAGATCAAAGTTTAGTCTTTTGATTACCTAATATGCTTTATACTCAAGTTCAATTAGAAAATGGCAAGCTTTGTTGAAAACCAATCTAAATGGACGCATCCCAATCAAAGTTTTAAAAGCAATCTTATAAGTCCACAATGCATCATCCAACCTCTTGCACCAAACTTTTCTAGATGGACAAATAGTCTTCTCCAAAATTCTTTTGATTTCTTTATTTGGAACTTCAACTTGGCCACTTGTTTGTGTGTGGTATATTGTGGTAATCTTATGTTTAACTCCACATTTGGCAAGGAATGCCTCAAACTATTTGTTGTAAAAGTGAGATCCTTTATCACTAATAATAGCTTTAGAGTGCCAAAATGAGTGAAGATATTCTTTATCAAAAAGTTCAACACACTTTAGAGTCGTTATTTTAGAATGCTACACCTTCAACCCATTTAGACACATAATCAATAGCAACTAAGATATAATGATTATGTATGAAGGAATAAATGGACCTATGAAGTCAATTCCCTACACATAAAAAATCTTTACCTCAGGAATATTGTTGAAAGGCATCTCATGTCTTCTTGATATGTTGCCAACTTGCTAACATCAATTATTTGAAATTGTAACTGGGCCACTTGTTTGTGGGTGGTATGTCCTGGCAATCTTATGTTTAACTCCATATTTGGTAAGAAGTGCCTCGAAATATTTGTTGCAAAATTAAGATCCTTCATCATTAATAATAGCTCTAGGAGTACCAAAAACAAGTGAAGATATTCTTTCTCAAGAAGTTCAACACCACCTTAGAGCCATTATTCTAGAATGTTGTAGCTTCAACCCATTTAGACACATAATCAATAACAACTAAGATATATTGGTTATTGTATGAATGAATAAATGGACCCATGAAGTCAATTGCCCACACATAAAAAATCCATACGTCAAGAATATTGTTGAGAGGCATCTCTTGTCTCTTAGATATGTTGCCAACTCGCTAACATCATCGTACTTTTCAACATAATAATGAGCATCTTTAAAGAAAGAAGGCCAATAGAAGCCTATTTAAAGAACCATGGCAGTAGTTCTTTGCCCTCCATAATGTCCTCCATGATCCAAGGAATGACAATGATATAGAATTTTTTTCAAATTCTTAACTTTTTCCTCTTAAACTTGCAAGTTGGAAGTATTCTCTTGATCTACTTTATCTTTATCATTTACCTCATTTTTTTCATTTGCCCCATCAAGATACTTACCATAATCTTCTCTTCTAGGATTACGGTCAGTGTCATTTGGTAAAGTTTCCTAAGGCCTATTGTTGATGTCATTGATAAGTTGACTCATATGTGTCTCAATATTTCTCATTGAAGCGTTGTTACTTTGAATAACTGCATTCATATTTGCCATGTGTTGCATAAACATCTCTTCCAAAGTTGACTTCTTCTCAAGTATAGGGGCTCTAACTTCTAATTGAAACCATTATGGAAAATAGGTTGTGATGAATATATAGGAACCAAATCACTACTCTATGAAAATTTTGGGTGATTCCACCTTAAGTTGTAACTCTCGGAGTATGAATTGCTTTGTTGCCCATTGAAACTTCCATTAAATTGCATTGATTCAGAATAGGCAAGATAGCAATCACTTGAATACATATCTCCTTAAAGCTTACATGTCACAAAAGGACTTTGAAAAACATTAATACCCCAAGTGTCAATTTCCTAAGACAAAGCATCTACTTAGGCAATCAAAGCACTAATTACATCCAATTCATAATCAATAGCAACTCTCTTAGGCACAAATTGTTCACATGGCCACTGATAGTTATAATAATTCATCACCTTAAAAACAAAGAAAGAAAAAGCACAAATTAAGATTAATCTATGAATATTAATATTAGCAAAACAAATAGGAAACACAAATCCCTGACAATAGTGCCAAAAATTTGTTGTGGATTTACCACACGTAAGTATACATATCAAACAAGTAATATAGGCAATAAGTCCAAAATTGCATCCTATGGGACTTTGCTCTTAATTTTCACTAAGTACTAAAATCGTGACAAACTAATCTTATTCAAGGAACTCAATTTTGTAGAAACGTAATTGCAACTAAATTTAATTAAACACTAAACTAATTAACAAAAACTAAAAAGTCATTAGAGAAAGGCAATATATTAAAACCTATGATTATGGGTTTATTCAACACTTCATCTTACATTTGTTTCTCTCAATACTTGCATTCATGGGTGGTTTTGCTAATCTAGAGTCCAAACCTATGTACAAGTCTTCGCCTAGATGCTTGCACAAATACCTAACTTAATTGGGTCACTATATGTCTATAGTAATTAATTAGATAAGGTTCATTAAACTAGTGCTCTAATTTGGCTATGTATGGCATTTAGGCATATGCCTACCCTAATTGCAAGTCAAATCAACTAAATGATGTGAACATATATTATTAAAATCTCAGGCCAATCTAAAATTACTTTGTCGAGTCTCATTCAGATTCACAAGTCATTCAATTGTTAGCTAGACAATCAAAAGCATTAAGAACATTTTTGAATAAGCAAAACCATACTCATTCATAGTAAATAAAAAAGAAACAAATATTCAAATTACATGTTGAAATCCACAACA